TGACACACATGGGGTCACTAAGAGTCAGGATCGACTCAAGGTCAACTGGCACTCAGTAAATAGGAGTAGGATCCTGAGGATCCAGTGACTGACTTCCAGACTTGTGGCAGTGAGTAAATGATCCACAGTGTATTGAGAGGTGGTGAACATGTTTAGACACAATTTTCAAGTCACATGATAGCGGTCCCAAATACGCTGAATTAACTAAATTTTTTCAAATGAAAGCTACAATGAAAAGAAAGCAAGCCTTCTTCTTTTTTGAATGATGTTTCAAAGGGCATTTTTCCCTAACAGGATGAGCACATCACCATGAATTCCTAGGCTCGAAGAGGCCAGACACTGAGTGAACTAAAACAAAGGGAACATGCAAAAGTGGCTCAGGTAGAAAGGTCTTGATGAACCTTCAAACGAATTTGCTCTGAATAATGCATCAAGTATGTATGAACTCACATCTTTAGCTGCTTTAAAATAAAAATACATTGTAAAGTGCAAAGCATCAAGGAAAAGCAGTGATATTGCCTGACATTTGAGGAGGCTGGCTAGTAAAAAAAAAAAAAAAGTTCCAAGTTTTTTAGACCAGTACAGCAGAAAACTCCTGAGCTGTTGGTCTAGCATCACAAGAACTTTCTTGCTTTCAGATCTCTGCAGTTCAAAGACATCAGCCTTTGCCAGGAGTCCACGGCTGATGTGGCTGCCACAGAAGTTACTCTGAGAGAATTGTACTGAGGACTAAGTATGTAATGGAAGCCACAAAAGCACAGTCAGCCTGACCACCTGCAAGCCCTGAAGTACACCTGGATGACCCCAGCACCCTTGCTAAGCATTGTTTGGCCTATATTGTAACTGGGGATATTTGCAAAGAGCTTGTTGCTTAAAGGAAGATACTCAGCTGTTTTTTAAAGCCGCTCTGAGAAAGAATAAAAAGCACTTACGGATTCTAAATTGGAAACTGGTAGCTCAGAATACAAAAGCTGAAGGGATTTTAGCCCATGATTTGACAGAGATTTATGAATCTCCATTAAATGGTCTGGGTATAAAAGAAATTAATGTTATATACTTAATATAGGCAGTATTAAATTAAATTTTCAAAATTATAAGAAGATGACTTAGCATCTAGCAAAGATGCAGTCATGCACAAGAGGCCTTTCTAGAGTCTCTTTCAATTGAGGCACATCTCATGAAAGTTCTTTGGAATAGGTCCCTTACCTGTCTGTATATCCACACTTCATACAGTGCTTCTTGTATGCTCCTGGTCCTATTTTTTATTACAGTTAACCAAGGGTGAAACTAGACTGTGAGCTCATTGAGAAAAGGAATTGTGTTTTAGACATTTCTGTACTCCGAGTGCTAAGCAATGCTCTGGCACAATAATTATGGTCAATCAATATTTGCTATATGTATACACACACACACACACACACACACATATATATATATATATATATATATATACATACACATATATATGTCTCCCATATGGCAAAGTTTGTGAAGATCATCAATAAATCTTTTGGTTTATGTGCACAATAAGTAATCACAAAAAAAGAAAAAGAAAAAGAAACTTGCCCAAGTTCAAACAAGATCCTCAGAGAAGGTCAGGTAAACTTCCTGAGACCACACAGCAAGTAAGGAATGAAACTGATGTGTACTTTTCCCTCTGCTGTCTCAGAGACACCGCCTCTCCAGTGGGCCAGAGAAAGGGCTAGGATCCCTAAAAGACCAGAAGGGGGGCAGGGAGGAGAAAGGGTTACGATAGAGGAGGCAGCGTCTGCGCGGGTTTGGAAGGGGCTTCCGGGACTGCAGGGCCGCCAGAGCGGGTGTGATGCAATCACGCCAGTCGCTGCGTGGAGGTGCGGCTCCGAGGATGCGGGGACTGCAGTAGAGCTAGTCCGGTCACCGCCCACCGCGCCCCTGCCTCCCGTTGCCACTGGTCGCCTTCCGCTGCAGCTAACCCTGCAGGCAAACGCTGCAGCTAACCTTCGTTCCCTACTCCCTGAGACAACCGCCCCGAGCCACCGGTAACCCCTGAGAACCGCCCGCAGCTACCGGCGACCCCTGACAGCCGCCGCCAGCCACCCGGGCGCCGAGGGCGCGCCATGAAGTCGGCCGTGGGCTCACGCGGCGGCGGGTCCGGGGTGTCGGGCGGCGGCTGGGGCGGCGGACGCGGCGGCGGGGGAAAGGGAGCAGGAGGAGATGGCGGCGGCCCGGGGGGCAAGGGCGGTTTCGGGGTGCGGGGCCGCGGCTTCGGCGGCCGGGGTCGGGGGCGCGGCGGCGGGGACGGCAGGGACCGTGGTGGCAGCGGGCAGGGGCGCACCGGCGTGGCCAAGAGCAAGAGCCGCCGCAGGAAGGGCGGCAGCGCGGTGTCGGTGGAGCCGCACCGGCATGAGGGCGTCTTCATCTACCGCGGAGCGGAGGACGCGCTGGTCACGCTGAACATGGTGCCTGGCCAGTCGGTGTACGGCGAGCGGCGCGTCACGGTGACCGAGGGCGGTGTTAAGCTCGAGTACCGCACGTGGAACCCCTTTCGCTCCAAGCTGGCCGCGGCCATCCTAGGTGGGGTCGACCAGATCCACATCAAGCCCAAGTCCAAAGTGCTGTACCTGGGGGCCGCCTCGGGGACCACTGTCTCCCATGTTTCCGACATCATCGGCCCAGATGGCCTGGTCTACGCGGTCGAGTTCTCGCACCGCGCCGGCCGCGATCTGGTCAACGTGGCCAAGAAGCGAACCAACATCATCCCGGTCCTTGAGGATGCCCGGCATCCGCTCAAGTACCGCATGCTTATCGGGATGGTGGACGTGATCTTCGCCGACGTGGCCCAGCCAGATCAGTCTCGCATCCTGGCTCTGAATGCCCACACCTTCTTGCGCAATGGGGGCCACTTCCTCATTTCCATCAAGGCCAACTGCATCGACTCCACGGCATCTGCCGAAGCGGTGTTTGCTTCTGAGGTGAGGAAGTTGCAGCAGGAGAATTTGAAGCCTCAAGAACAGCTGACCCTGGAGCCCTATGAGAGGGATCACGCTGTGGTTGTTGGGGTCTACCGGCCTCTGCCCAAGAGCAGCAACAAGTAGCACCCAGCTCAGGCTGTCCCTGAGGTCTCCCCAAGACTGTGTTGTGTTCAATGTTACTCTGTGTGTTCTTTGTGTGCGTTTTGGGGTTTTGTTTGTTTGTTTTCTATTAAATGACATAAAGAAGCTGTACCCAGGTGTCAGTGAGGCCAGGTTGAGTTTTGCTGCAGTAACATCAATCCCCAAGCCCCAGTGACCTAAAACAACTCATGATAGCGGCCCATCAAGGACCAGCCTGGGAGCTCTGCTTATTCTAATCACTAAGGGACCTGTCTCCCTAGCACCCATCTTCTAACATGCTTTCTCCGTCACCAGTGGAAAAAAACAGTTGCTGTGGAGTCACAGCAACCCGTATGTGTCAGCGTAGAACTGTGCTCCATAGGGTTTTCAGGGGTTGAGCTTTCAGAAGCAGATTGCCTGGCCTTTCTTTGAAGGTGCCTCCGGGTGGACTTGAACCTGCAACATTTTGGTTAGCAGTGAGCACGTTAACCATTTGCACCACCCAGGGACAACTTCTCCATCACAGGAGCAGGGAAGAGAAAGCCAAGGAATTGCTAATAAACTTTTAAATTCTCCCTTGGAACTGATGGGGTACTTCTGCTCCCATTGGCCAAGTCACATGACCAAACCTGACCTTGGAGGGGGTATTAGATATCGATGGACAGTTATAGAGCCTAACACACTCTATCTGACTCAGAGTCAGACTCTTAACCACAGTAAGGTCTTTACTACTTTGCTATTCATCTAAGCCCTGTTGCATTCATTATTACATTAAGTCATCACGTCACCCAAGATGGTTTTGTTATCATTTCCATTTTACATGTGACAAACTAGGCCTTCTGAAGGAACACTAGTTGCCCAAGTTTACACAGCCCGTATGGACATGGAACTTAACTGCCAGTCTTTGGGGCTCTAAATCCATTGCTATTTCCCATACGCCAGAGTGATCTTACCTCTCCTCCACATGGCACACACTGGACAGACCACAAGTGTCCCCGCATTCAGTGGAAACACAGGGACACACCCAGAAACAGGGCTCTGTGGTCCTCAGTGTATCCCCCCGCCCCTCCACCTCATTGTGTCACCAGTTTCTTAGATTCCAAAATAGCAAAATCAGTCAGGGAGGTAGGATATGGTCCACCGAGCAGAGTGTTCACACGACAGAGCTCAACATAGCCGAGCGGCATCACCAGGTGTCTGAGGAACAGCCAGAAAAATGACTGCCAGAAAGTACCAGTCTTCTGAACAGCATTTCCTGCACACCCTGAGATGCTGGATTCAGTACCTCGGACGCTGGCTCTCCAAACCAGCCCTAAGGGAGCAGGAGAGTGAGTCATCCCAGGAGAGCTGGGAATGCTCCAAAGCCTGGTAAATCTCTCCAAATTAGACCTTCAAAAAAGCCTTTCATTTGTTCATTCGGACATTCAAAAAACACCCATTGCCAATTGCCAAGGTCATTGATACTAGTCCGGGAAGGATCAATTACTAATGCATCATTTGGGGAATGGGTTTGCCTTCCTAGAGATGTGCTTGGGCGGATATTGTTTCAAAAGCATACAATCTGAACAAAAAGGAAGGTGAAACAGATTTTTTTAAGGGTAACCATCCTCTCCTCCCCACCTATACACATAAGGGAGAGCTACAATATAGATTTGTTGGCAAGGCTGACTCAGGAAGACAAGGATGAAAGAGGTAAATGTGTATAAGAATCCAGCCACGCATTTCCATAAACAAGATGAAATCTTCATTACAAAGTAAGGGTCATGATTCCCATTTAACAGATGAGAAAAGTTCAGATCAGAGAGATGACAGACTTGCTTAAGATCCCTCAGGAAGGGGCACAGCCTGAAATCAAATCCAAGTCAGTCTGACTTCAAAATCTATGCCTTTTTACACTGAAGTCTATGTTGGTTCCTTTGCTTTGAAAAGCCTTCTCTCCAATCCTAACCACTCACCAGATGCTGCTGAGTCTGTTCCAACTCATAGCAACCCCCAGGTGTATCAGTGTAGAATTGTGCTCCATAGGGTTTCAATGGCTGATTTTTTGGAGGTAGATTGCCAGGCCCTTTTTTTGAGGTGCCTCTGGGTTGACTCAGACCTCCAACCTTTTATTTAGCATCTGAGTGTGTTAACCATTTGCCCCACAGAGGGACTCCTCTCTAATCCTAGGCTAATTCATTGCTGGGATGAGGCCCTGAGGCTGGGGATGGACTCCGAGGGGACAGGAACCTTCTTCTCAGTAGAAGAAGACTATAGAGACTGTAGGAGCGGAGCACTGAGGAGGGAAGGCCTCTGTAGCAAGGGACATGCAGGATCCAGCCCTTCCTGAGAACCAACTCAGTCTCGATAAGGAATCCCCGTTCTTCCTTACAGGATGGGAATAGAGCAGGGAGGAGGCAATTAGAGGAAACTCTACCTCTTTCCTGGCACAGGCATCCCCCACCCACACACAATATATATACAGTCTATGTCTGAGCTTCTTGAATGAGGACCATCAATAGAGAAATGGCATGAAAACAACCTGAAGAATTTCTCTGGGCTGCAGATGGGTTCCTGGGTGGTTCCTGGGCCAATGGAATGACGTGGTATATACCGAGACAAAGGCAGGCATAAGTCCCAAGGGAAATATAGGAGAGAAGCTGGCACCTGGTTGTGGAGGTTGAGGACAGGGCAAAGGATGGGACTCACTCTGGTGGGCGGTGAGGCCCAGAAGATCTAGAGGTCTCAGTGGCACTGAGTACCTGACCTGGAATGCTGCAGTGACCATTTGAGGACTGCAGGGGAACTTTCAGCTCAAAGTGCCTGTCTTACTGGATTGTAAGAGTTGGCCAAGGAAGGCAATGTGCAATATGAACGTAACTGCATGGGGCCTGGCACACAATGTATGCTCTTCATGCTCTTCCTTCCTCCCATCATTCCTCTTTTTACAAACAAATATAAGTGTCTCTGTTTCCTAGTGCTGCTATATCACACATACCACAAGTGGGTGACTGTAATGAACAGAAGTTTATTTGCTCTCAGTTTAGGAGGCTAGCAGTCCAAATTCAGGGCGCCAGTTCTAGGGGAAGGCTCTCTGTCCGCTCTGAGGGAACATCCTTGTCTCAGCTTCTCTAGCGTTCTTCTTGGCTTTCTGTGGAGATGTCCACATGGCTCTATTTTTCCCCAACTCAAGCCTGCTTGCTCTGTGCCTAATGTGCTCTTTTTGTATCTCAAAAGTGGTTAGGTTTAAGACACACCCAACAGTGATATGGCCTCGTTAACATAAGAAAACTCTATTCCTAAAGAGGATTACATCCACAGGTTAGAATTTACAACACATATTGTTGGGGGATACAATTCAACCCGTAACAATAAAACAATAAGGTAGCTGAGAGTTATGTGTTAAGAATGAAGAGAATTAAGAATTAATATACATGCCAGGGGTTGCCTTGGAGTGTGGGGATCTTAGCAGGGCTCCTGAAGACTGGTTCAAGCTGGGAGCTGGAGGTAGCTTGCTGCTGAGTCTCAGAGGGTCAGTGGCCCTTGTAGGGGCTGCAGTAGTGAACCAGGTCCAAGCACCAGTGCAGGTCCAGCTGGAGGTACCTCAGCGGTGATGCGGTGAGGCTGGACTCCAGGCCAAGTGCAGCCAGCAGGACCCAGCTGGGAACAGTACACCATCAGGCCTCTCTGCCCACCCCATCACCGTGATGCTTGTCAGCCTCCCCCTGCCCAGACTCCTCCTGGGATGAAGGGAAGGAGAATGGGGAGGGAGAAGATCTGAGGGAATGAACTTTTATCCGAAAGAAACCAAGTTCCTTTCAGTCAACACTTTCTCCTCCCAACCCCAACCCTGCTGCCGAGCAAGAGCACATCTTGTCATAGTGTGTATATTTGGATCCTGCTACACTACTATTTATCAAGCATGGATTATGTCCCAGGTGTAAAGCTAAGCATTTATTTGATTTTAAAAAGTGTTATTTTAAATTAACAATGAGAATAAACGTACAAGAAAGTGCTGAGGACATAAATGCTCAGCTTAATGAGTTGCTGTAAAATGAACATTTGTGTGACCTAGGGGAAGGGAACACGTGAGGGCCACTGACCCTGGGCCTGCCCCTTCTTCTTCCTGAGGGGCCTCATGCACCTGTTTGTAGACATCCAACTCTCAAGTCCAAGATTTGTCCACATCCCCTTTAAACAGCCTCCTTTAAGCCACCCCTTGGGACTAGAGATGCAAACTGGGAGCATGGGCTCCTCTCTGGAGCCTGGAGAAGAGGCTGGAAGCAGGGCTCTGGATGCCCAGTGCATGATCTAGAAGGGGCATGGGCTCACAGCATGTTAGCCTGGTCCCTGTGGAGTCCTTGGTCCATGGGGTGAGGTGCCAGTGAAGGAAGCCCAGGGTAGTCTTCTAAAGTGTGGGGCCGGGCCTGGGGCTCTACTTGAAGGTTTATGAAGTCTCTGGTTTATGTGGCCCTTTCTGTCTCTTGGGCTAATACTTTCCTTGTGTCCATGGTATTCTTCATTCTCCTTTACTCCAGGTGGGTTGGGACCAATTCATGCATCTTAGATGGCCGCTTGCTAGCCTTTAAGTCCTCAGACACCAATCACCAAAGTGGGATGCAGAACATTTTCTTTAAAAACTTTGTTATGCCAGTTGACCTAGATGTCCCCTGAAACCATGGTCCTCAGACCCCCACCCCTGCTACTCTGTCCCTCGAAGTGTTTGGTTGTAATCAGGAAACTTCTTAGCTTTGGTTTGGTCCAGTTGTGCTGACTTTGCCTGCAGTGTGTGTTGTCCTTCCCTTCATCTAAGACAATTTTTGCCTACTTTCTAGTTAGTGAATACCCCTCTCCCTCCCTCCTCACCCTTGTAACTGTTGAAGAATGTTGTCTTCTGTGTTTAAATCTTTTCTTGGTTTCTTATAATAGTAGTCTTATACAATATTTGTCCTTTTGCAACTAAGTTCACTCAGCATAATACCATCCAGATTTCTCCATGTTATAAGATTTTTCACGGATTCATCGTTGTTCTTTATCATTGTGTGGTATTCCATTGTGTGACTATACCAAAATTTGTTTATCCATTCATCCGCTGATGGGCACCTAAGTTGTTTCCATCTTTTTGCTGTCGTGAACAATGCTGTGATGCAATATTTATTTGTCTGAATTGACCATAGCTTCTTTAGCTATTCTATTGCTGATGGACATTTAGGTTGTTTTTAGGTGTCAGCTATTACAAACAAGGCTGCTATGGATATTCTTGTATGTGTATCCTGGTGTATATAAACTCACATTTCTGTACAACAATATAAGTAGACGTGAAATAGA